CCCGGTGGAACAGGAAATGGCCCAATTGGTCATGTGCGATTCCTGCTCTGTCCAGCCAGAGCTCAGCCCCCACGGCAGCCACAGGAGGCCCTAGGATGGGGCCGATTCCGGGGAGCCTGTAACGGGGGCCTGGACGGAGGAGGGGAGACCCGGCCCCTCGGGGGAGTGATGATAGGGGTCCCGCACCTCTCTGGCCTGTGTACAGATACCCCTTCACTCGTTGGCTCATTTGCGCATCACAGTGTCACTGCAGGGATCCCGGCTGACCTGCCGGGACCTTCCAGGGCCTACAGGGTAGTCACCTATGATGACCCCCACGCCCCGTGGTCACTGCACCCCAGGAGATTTTCTCCTGTTCCCCACACCCCTTGGTCACTGCACCCCAGGAGATGTTCTCCTGCTGCTCCCCAGCTCTGCTTGCAGCTGCGACGGGACCTGGGTCATAGTACACTGTTGGGTCAGGTTCCATCCTCGGCCCCCCACCAGGAGCGAGCCCTGAGCCCTCCCTACAACAGCATAGGCGGCGAGCCCCCCCAGACCACCACAGTGCCCACCCCGCACCTCGGAGGCCCCAGGCTCTCCCTGGCACTGACATCAACTAGACTCCGAGCAAGACACCAAAGCGACGCGGGACGAGATGGTCAAGCTGCCACGGAAGCGCCACAGGCCAAGAGGAATTCGGTAGTGAGGAAACAGCTGCGGGAAGCGAACGGCGCATCTCCCCAAACCGGCCCTCAGACCTGGAGGCAGCAACCGGCCGAGAGACACCAAGTCCAGCGCCAGCGTCCAGTCCCGGCCCGCCCCAGGAGAGGAGAACCGCGGCAGCTCGCTCGCTGTGGACGGGCCCAGAGTCTCGCCTGGACACTCGCTCCCGAAGGGCGCCCATGGCAGCGGAACCGAAACCCGACTTCAAAGGCACCCCGACCTGCATCCGAGCTGGACCGTCCTTGGAGAGGCCCAGCCTGGCCGCAGGCCCCTGAGCCCTTCCTGCTGGGCTTTGTCCCCACCCATGGCTCAGGCCGCGCTCCCCGTCTGCCGACAGGACCTTGTCCTTGCTCCATGTCACTGCACCAGGGTGGGGGCGGGGCGGGCCGCCGCAGACGGGCGCACACCAGCCCAGCGCTGCCCGGAGGGTCGGAGTCTCCCGGCACTGACCAAGGCCGCCGCGTGCAGCCCCAGGAGCCGTCCTTTCCGGCTTGTGCTGAGTCCCCAGGATATGCTCTTCCGCCTCCGTATAGCCCCCTAGGGTCCACAAAACATGTAAACACACACATGCACACGCCCCACACGGATACTAACCCTGACCTGCTGGGGTGGGACAGCCCAGGGGGCCGAGTACCCCACGTGTGTCGCCAGCAGTGCAGAGGGTCTGCTGAACCCCCCAGGAGGGACCCTGGTGCAGAGCCAGGAGTCAGCCCTGAGCACAGCCGGGTGTGGGCCCAAAACAGAAAAGACAAGCGCCCTCCAAAATGACCTCTTACACCGTTCAGCATCCACGTAAATGTCCTGGTTAAGCTGCGCTCTGGAGGGGCAAGGCAGGGGGACCCTCATTTCTAAAATGGCCTTGAGAAGGAACAAAAGGAGACAGCCCAGAGTGGCAGGCGGGGCACAGGGCCCGGTGCCCGCCAGCTCTGCCCACCAGGGTGGCGAGTTTCCTGAGGCAGAGCTGAGGGGCTCCGGGCTCCGGCGTGAAAGAGTTAACGACACGAGGAAGAACTCGCACGTCAGACAGGGTTAAGGCCCCGCCAGCCTGCTGAAGTATTTGCAGAATGTTCTGGCTCTTGAATTCAAAGGTGGGTCTGTCCACCGAGGGGGACAGCCTGTGGGGCCGGTCCACAGGCCGGGTGCCCTGAGCTCCGGGGCCCCCTTACCGTCCAGGGCTGGGCAGTACCGGGGCTGCCCTCTGCGTCCCATCAAACACCCCGTTTCCCCACTCGGGCCTCTGCCGGCCCCCGAGCACGCATGGACAGACACACACACGTGGGCACGCACACGCACACATGTATCCACACGCACACAGAGACTCACACAGACGCCCGCCCGCGTGGACACGCGCCCCTTCCCCCCACAGGAAGCCGCCCTGTGCCAGGAGTGGATGGAATTTGGGTTTGCAGGGGTGTCCTGGGCCTCCGGTCCCCGGGCGCCCGCTGAAGAAAGGCCCAGTGTGTGGGCGGGAGAGGGGTCTCCTGCTCGCGCCCGCGGGCCCCAAGAAAAACCCACACTTGGCTGCAGCCTCGCCGGCCACACCCGGCCCCAGCCGCATTCCTTCCCCTCCCGAGCCCACACTGGGTGGCCCCGCGGCCCCACAGCGGCCAGACCCCCACCTGAGCGAGGGCTACCTCGGCCCCAAGCAGCCGGAAACCCGCGCCCCCCCCACCGCACGCTCGCACTGGGGGTCCAGCCCGCTGCTGGACCCCACAGCCCCTCACCGCCCACCATCACCTCCGCCCCGGCTCCCCCTTCCTGTCCCCGGGCTAGCGCAGGACCACACGAGGCCTCTCTGGAAAGGCCGCGGGCACCCTCTGTCCGCCAGGCCGAGCCGGGGAGCCGGGCAGCTTGGGACTGGGCCTCGCAGGCCTGCTGCCCCCGTGGGGGCCACTCTGTCCCTGCTCAGGCTGTAGACCACCAGCCCCCCGAGGCTGCAGAACCAAGCTCACAGCACTTTCGGCCAGCCCCACCCTGTGCGGCCTTGTCTGTGCCTGCCGGGAAGGGTCGTGTGTGTGACCCTGAAGTGGGGGGTGAGGGGGGTAGGCACAGGCTCAGACACGAGGGGGGACATGGGCCTGGACATGGGGGGGAGGCGGGGCCCGGACGTGGGGGGACATGGGCCTGGACTCGGGAGCACACGGACCTGAATGAAGGTCCTCATGGAGGAACAGATGCCCCTTGGCCTCCACTATGTGTGGGCTGGTGGGGCAGGTCGGGGGCGGAGTGGACAGGCCAGCAGCACCTCCACAGCCCAGGAGCACGGCATGCAGGGCGTGTGCTCGCCAGGGGCCCCATGGAGCATCTCACCTCAGAACGCAGGGACAGACATGCAAGGGGCAGCGTGTGACCAGCCCCCGCGCGTCAGGGCGACAGTGTTGGGGGAGTCTGCCTGCGTGGCCAGCCAGTGGCCGGGGCAGGGGCTGCTCTGGGCCATGGGTGGTGGGGACAGGCCGGCAGGGTCTGGTGGGCCCCTCTTCCCTCTGCGTCCGTTAGACACACTATGGGCGGGTCACGTGGCTGCGCTGGCTGGCAGGGGACGCAGTCAGGGCCCCGCACCCCCTGGGGCCCACCATAGAGTCTCGGGTGGACATACACGGGGGGCCGTCGGCCGCGGGCCATGCCTCCCCCAGCAGGAACACAAACTCTGGGGGCAACAGCGGAACTGGAGAGGTGGCCCCTGGCGTGGGGGACCCGCTGTAGGGCCTCGAGTCCCGTCCATTTGGAAGCCGCAATGGCCTCTCCCACCCTAGTGTCCCAGCTGGGCCAGCGTCGGAGGTCACGATGGACCCCGAGACCCCAGGAGAGGGTGCCCTGAGGCGCCCCCGCCTCCATTTTGGGACCATCTCTCTGTGCGCCTGAGCCTGCTGTGAGTCTGGTCAAGGCCGGGCGGCTTCACGGGGGCTGCCAGGACATGCCAGGCTGACCCTCCTTCTCCCCCTGACGCAGCCCCAGAAAGAGCCGCCTCGTTCCCACCAAGGCCCGAGGGCTGCATGGGGAGAGATGGGAATTGGTGTCAGAGCCGGGTCCACTTGCAGCTTGGGCCTGGCACTGGCCCTTGAGGCCTGGGCGCCCCTGAACTGTCCACACAACACATGTGGCCTCCTGTGTCCTGCGGAGGCCACACTGCGTGCCCCCACAACGGAGCCCACACCCTCCCCCCATCACGCCGCCCCCAAGCAGTGGCCAGCAGGCCCCAGAAACGGGGCCTTCGCCCAGCCTCAAGGCTGCGGTTACCTCACCTCCCCGGCAGGGCCGGGGGAGCGGGGGGCGCAGGGATGCAGAACTGGCGGGTTCTTCTTCGCGTCTGGAGACTGGCGGGGACCCAGCGTGATGCTGAGCTGAGCGTTCCCAGAAATGGCCTCCCGCCAGCACCCCCCACCCCCCACACCCCAGGGGAGCACGGGGGTCCCGGGCCCCTCCAGCACGCCCCAGCCCCACATACCAGCCAGCCCCTCTCGGAGAGCCCCTGCCTGCTGGAGAGGGCGGACCCCATGCCTGCACCCAGGTCAGCCTCCTGAGTCCTGCTCAGGCGCTCCATGGCCCCAGGCCCCCACCACAGCAGACCCCCTCGGCCCCCTCCCCCTGCCCTTCTGGGTGGGCCCGAGAGGGTCCCAGGCTCCAGGGGAAGGCCCCACCCTGGCCCCTAACCCGCCGCACAGGCCCGACTACCAGAGAGGGGCGGGAGGGATGGGACACCGGGCCCCCAGGCCGAGGAGGGCGGCTGAGGGTGTGGGCACCTCTCTCCAGCCATGCTGTGTCCGGCCTGTGCCGTGTGGGGCCGTGGCCTCAGTGAGGGAGCACCACTGGGGTTTGAAGCCCACCAGGGCTCAGTTAGGGGGTCTCAGGAAACAGTCCTGAAGGCCAAGCCGTGGCGGTGCCCGGGCGACCGTCTGTCCCAACTGTTCATGCAGCCCAGGCCCGGGGCGAGGGGGTTTCCAGCACAGCGACAGCTCTGCCCGCGACGCCTCTGCACCCATCCCGGCCCCCAACCGCGGCCCCTGGGCAGAAGAGCCGGGAAGCGGCCGGCCAGCTGCGCCCGGGTGGCCCAGAGGAAGGGCGGGAAGCAGGCCTTCCCCTCCACCTGCAGACGGGGCGGCCTCCATGGGGAAATGTCAGAAAACAAAGTCTCTCTTTTGGGGGGGAGAGAAAAACAATCTGAGACACTCGGAGCAGGAAAACAAGTGGAAAATGATCGGTCTGGTTTTCCATAAGTCAAAACAGGAGGATCGGGTTCCCCCGGCCAGGGAAAGGCCCCAGCCCCCGCCCGTCCCCACGTCGCGTGCGGCACTCACTGTGACACGTGGGTGATGGGGGTCAGCAGCGTCTCCCCCTCCAGGTCCAAGTCCTCGGCAAAGCTGCTGCTGCGCAGGAACGGGGCCGAGGTCACCTCCAGCAGGGTGGGGATTTTCCTGACTGTGGGGGAGGGGCGCGGTCAGCACCCCCGCTCGGCCGAGACGGCGGGGAGAGACAGACACACAGCCCAGCCCGCCCCCCCCCCCCCGCTCCCCAAGTTCAGGGCTGCTCCCTGCGCACACCTCCAGGGAGACCCCGGGGCGCCCCAGACCCCCCGACGGCTCACGCTGAGCGGAAGAGCCCCCGCACCCCTCTCGTGGCTGTGGGGCCCTCAGCCATGTGCAGGCGGCTCATGTGGACTTGGCACTTGCGGGGTGGACCTGGCCAGGGCTGTGGGGGACACGCAGGCTCTGTGACGGCTCAGCCAGGATGCAGAGAAGATGGTGATGGCCCCCATGTGCACACACAAGCACACAGTGCACACTTCCGTGCACACACACACACACAAATACACATCCATCCACACGCACACACATCCCATCTCTCTGAGCCCCCTGGCCGTGAGGGAATCGGGGACACTCCCTTGGTCCTCATCGGAGTTCCTAGACTTTTCCCAGGATGTGGCTGCAGCGGGAAGCTGGGGGGAGACCAAATACTGTCCCCCCTGCCGCCCACCAAGGCTGTCCTTGTCTGTCACTCTCCATCCGTGGCGGAGGCATGGGATATCTGTCTGGTCACCTAAGCCCCCGCCTGCTTCCCTGAGGGTCTTTCTGAAGCCACCTCTCGCATTTGTGATTCGTGACGCCAGGGGTGTGACGCCCCACTCGCCATGTCCGTTTGAATCACGCCTGGCTGCGGGGACCCAAGGGCGACCGGTACAACCACCTGTGAAGTGGCGTGAGGGCAACACCAAGGGCCTGGGGCCTGGAATGGGGTTTCCGTTTGAGAACACAGCGGGGTCTGGAAGGGGAGGGCAGCAGATGGGGGCTCCGGCCAGGGGCGCAGCTGGACCCGCGTAGCAGTGGCCACAGGTGGCCTGGCCCTTCGGGGACAGAGCATGGCCAAGGGCCTCCATGATGGACCATGGTGCTGCCATGGTGCTGGGGGTTAGGCAGAAGATGCTGACCTTGCGTGTGGCCTGCCTGGGGTCAACCCAGCACTCCTGGGCCAGGCGTGAGCCCAGCTGGGGCGCCATGGGTATGGCCTGCCCCCCAAGGTGCTGGGCTGACCGGGAGGAGAAAGCCCAGACACCGCGTCAGGCTGGCATTTGCTTGCATGCGTCCAGCCCGGCTTTGATTCTCAGCACAGCACAAGGTCCCCCAGCCCTGAGCACCACCAGGTGTGGCCCCAAACAAAGAACAAAAGAAGCTTGGGAAGAGGGAGCGGCACCGCTCTGGGCTGGGAGTCGCAGGGAGCGATGGGCACCTTCTCCGAGGCCTCACACTGGGGACCTGGCGGGATCACCCTGCAGCTTCTCACGGACGAGCAGCTCCATCCCCAGAGCAAGTTCTGCACATGCCCCTTCAGCCTCCCCCACAGAAACGGCGGAAGCAGCTGCCTCACCAGGGCCCGGACTGCAATGGGCCAAGAAGCTCAGGGTGACCCCGGGAGCCCCACCGAGCAAAGCCCCCCAAATTCCTGATTCCCACGACCACGGGGACAAATCTACATGCATTTCTCAGAGCCATGGAAGAAGCGAGGTGCAGAGGACAGACCCTGTGGGTCCACTCAGGCCTGCTGGACGAGACAAGAACAACAGGGCATAGGACAACCCCGAAGTGGCCAGTGGGCAGGGTGGGCTGGGGGTGCGACAGGACTGTGACTTCAAGGGGGCCGCCGGGGGGAATGTTCGGGATTGCAGTGGGGACTGCGAGCTGGACATTCATCCAGACCCACAGGACTGGCTGCGTTTCAGAGTCTCTTACTGCAAACTTGAAAATGAGCCTGCAGGAGGGGTGGCCTGGGCCGTGATGCCCCTGGCCAGGCCCCGGGAACACACACCCGCAGGGCGCGGCCAGGATCCGCGGGGCTACGTGGGCCTGCTCAGGCCGCGCATCTGCGTGTACTTCCTCCTGGGGCCTCGAGGCTCTGGAAATAGCCAGGCACGACCCGCGGTGTCCGCCCGGCCCCGCGCAATGCGCTGCTTCTCCGTCAGAGGCTGGGGCCGCAGTGGCCGGCGTGGGGAAAATACAAGATGAGCCTGAGGTATTGTCTGGTACTCAAAAGGAAGGAAATGCTCAAAAATAAATCAGCGCAGAGGATGGGGGCACGTCAGAAGGGCACAGGAACTGCCCCGGGAACCCCGGGTCCAGCGCCCGAGTCGGCGTTCTCAGCCGCAAACTGCTTGCTCACCGCTCAGAAAAAGATTCCTGTGTCCATGCGAGGGGCCGGCCACATAATTGGAGGAAGCCGATCTTTGTTAGGGAAGAATTCCAAATGGTACAGAAAGAATGAGGGCGAGAGAGGCCCGGCAGGACCCAGCTGGGATTCCTGCCACGGGGCCACACCACGGAGCAGGGGCGCTAAAATTAGAGGTGAATCCCCCAAGCAGCAGCGGGCCTCCGGGATCCTGCTCAGGCCAGGGCAGGTGTGTTCCACACGCACTCGGGTAGTGGTCCTGCCCAGGCACACTCACATGTGCCAGTTCTGCCCCTACCCCCCCCCCCCACACACACACACAGTTGCATGTACTGGTTCTGGCCCATGCACATGCACCGAGAAGGGACTGTGTCCTCCAGGAGGTGGACCCCTGCACTTGGGCCGGAGGGACAGCGGCAAAGGGAACTCGGTGCCAGGAATTCTAGGGAGTGAACGACCATCCAGAGGCTCAGCCTGGCCTTCCCCAAAATCACAGCCCCACACCCGTGTGTGACTGTGGTGGGAAGTGGGTCCACTGAGACGAGGGTTGATGACGGGATGTTGGTGGGCTCAGCAGGGACCCAGGGGCAGCGTCCAGATGTGGCTGGCATGGATGTGGCCTGCACAATCTCAGACCACGGGCCAGAGTTCCAGGGACACGAGGCTCGCCTTCCCTGACCTTGGGCTTTCTGCAAGGATGTTTCTAGAACTTTAGAGCCACCAATCCAGGCCAGTTCGTTCAACTCCCTGAAAATGAAGCCCGGGGCCAGAGAGAAGAGGCCAACGTGGCCTCGGGGAAGGAGGGAAGGACGGGCCAACCTGGCCGCCAGCAGACAATCACGTTCCCAGAGGTGTCCTGGGAAAGGTAGCTGAAGGAGTGTAAATCAGCCCGGGGGGCGCCCGGCCAGGGGACGGGGGGCGGGCCCCCACAGGAAACGGCACAGACATGACTTAGGCGCAGCTGCTCGCGGGCCAGCGTGGAGGGCTGCGCGCGCTGCGCGGGGAAGGGGCCCGGTAAGCCCCGAAGAATGCGGCCCGCGCACCGGCCGCCCCCGTGGAGCGCCGCGGCTGGGATTCAAGTGCCCTGCGTTACATTATCCACTTGTCAAGCGACAGAGCTGAAACCTCATCCAGGATCCAAATGTTCTTTCGAGAAAGGAAAAAAAAAAAAGAAAAAGAAAGAAAAAGGGAGGAAGGGAAAAAGAACACAAATGCATATTTTTCCGTCTGCATCACCCGCGCTGCGAGGGGGAAGGGCCGCGGGGTGTCTGCACAGCCCGGCTCCTCGCCCCTCTCGGCGCGGGCGGCCCTCTGACCCCGGCAAGGCGTGGCCCCGGGGTTTTAGGAAATTAAAATGTGCGCATCGGTGAGGCTGCACCTGCCAGAGAAGAATGCGTGCGTTTGGGCTTGGTCCTGGGAAAGGCGCGGGCCCGTGGGAGGGCGCGGCGCGGGGGCTCTGCACTGCCTTTGTTTTCCCGGTCAGAAGTCTCCTGTGTCTGCCTTGGCCTGCCCGGGGCCCCCGGGGGGAGCCGCCTCCTGCCCCCCGCTCCGGTCACTGCCGGGTCAGGCGCCTGAGAGCTGAGCTGAGCTCGGGGCTGGGGGCTGGGGCCCAGCTGGCGCAGTGTCCCCACGGGCAGGGGCTTGGGGCAAGTGTCCTGTCCTGAGAGCCCCACGGGTCACTCTGACAGCCCCGGGAGGGGAGAACCAAGCGTGGGGGCCGCCGGGGTGCAGAGGGGTCCATGACCCTCGGGCAGGCGGGCACCAGATCTGGTCACCCCTGCACTGTGAGCCTGCGGGATCTGGCCGGGCCGGGACGTGGGCCGGGACTTGGTGGAATCTGGGCCGGAATCCGGCCGGATCTGGGGTCACGTGCTCCACACAGCCGAAACCAGTTTTGTTTTCTAGGAAAACGGGAGCGCTGGGGTGGCGGGTCGGCACAGCCTCACCCTGCCTGTTCCCCGCGACCCAGTGTCTGCCTGGCCCCTCTTGAGAGCTATGGGGGGTACGGTGTGGAATGGGGGTGCAGCCTGGCAGGTCCCTGTTCTTCATCCTCCTCTCTCCCAGGACGGCACGTCGCCAAGTTAGGGGCTGTATGCAGCATGGGGCCTTGTCCTCCCACCCACAGCCCCAACAGCCCCTCCTGGGTGTGAGGCCCTGTGCTGGGGCTCCCCACCTCCCCTCCCCCCATGTGGGAAAGGCGTTCTGGGCCCCCCAAGAACTTGTCTGCACTCTTTCCCATGCCCCCGTCATGGGGCCAGTGGATCTGCTTCGGGAGTTGGTGGGTTCAGAGAGACGGCGCCGGGGGCTGGGGGCCCCAAGTCAGAAGGGCACCCCCCTCACCTCCTGCCACCCGTGAGTTTCCCAGGACCTGGGTCCCCCTGTCGTGACTGAGGAAAATCCCCCCAATCCCCCAGGTGTAACTCGAGTCCCGAACAAAGCCGGGATGGCTCCCCGGAGGCGGAGCGGGTGGGGGAGCGTCTGGCCTCCAGGTCTGGGCCACCCAGCCCTGCCTGAGGTGAAGCCCCCCTCCCCCATCTGGCAGAGTGGCCACGGCCCCTCCCCGGGGCATCCGGACAGCTGTGGCGCAGCCAGCGCTGTGTGACATGGCTGGGCAGGGGCCCCGCTGGTGCCAGCTGCCCGGGCCCGGCGCGCAGACCCTGAGCCAGGCCAGCCGCGACCACCTGTGCGTGCAGGCAGGACGGCCGTGCCATTCCCACGGCAGCTGCCAGGCCGCGGGCACAGCTGGCCCAGTTCCGCCCGGG